ATGCAAATAAATTATTTTATGCCAAGTTTATTGCAAACGGCATACTTTTCGTTTCATAACATTAAGATCAACTGACAGCTGAGTTTTCACAATGTATTGAAAATAAATTAAAAAAAAAACTTACCTGCACTATGTGAAGGGTGAAAAAGGTAGCTGGAGCTGAAGTCTCTGCAGCCGGGAGGGGAAGAGAAAGCCGGGAGGGGAAGAGTCGCTCCCAGCACACTCACGCACGCACTGGAAGCCTGTCTGCCACAGATGTCAACTGCCCATCTGTAGACTCCCAGAACGCGGCGCAGTCACGCACTGCGCTCTGCTCTCAAGCAGAAGACTGTCTGCCATAGAAGGGAGGGCCGTGGGAGGGCCACATTACACAGAGCAGGGAGGGCTGTTGGAGGGCCGTATTAAAACGACCCCCGGGCCGTAAATGGCCCGCGGGCCGGACTTTGGACATGCCTGCTTTATAGAAAAGTGAAAGAGGTATTCCACCTAAAGTGTGAAACCTATCCACATGCCACCCTGCTGATGTCTCCTTGGCAGTGGAGGGGCAAGACCAGATGGCGCCCCTTTCCACCTCCAAAATGTATGAGAATTGTGTCAGCAAAAATCCCCCCCCCCAAAAAAAAACAAATTGAGCAATAATCTGCACACTTACCCCCTAATAATAAATTCCCGTTGCAAGCCAAAATTCTTCACAAACAAAAATCCCCCCTCTTCCTGTACACATCCTTCTCCCAGCTCAAATCATCTCCCTCCCCAAATCCCCCCTCCTAGCTCAAATAATCTCCTTCCCCAAATCCCCCCTCCAAGCTCAAATCATCTCCCTCCCCAAATCCCCCCTCCCAGCCCAAATTATCTTCCTCCTTAAATCTCCCCCTCCTAACTCAAATCATCTCCCTCTCCAAATCCCCCCTGCAAGCTCAAATCATCTCCCTCCCCAAATCCCCCCTCCCAGCTCAAATTATCTCCCTCCTTAAATTCCCCCCCCAGCTCAAATCATCTCCCTCCCCAAATCCCCCCTGCCAGCTCAAATCGCCTCCCTCTCCAAATACCCCCTCCCAGCTCAAATCATCTCCCTCCCCAAATCCCCCCCCCTCCTAGCCAAATCATTTCCCTCCTTAAATCCCCCCTCCTAGCTCAAAACATCTCCCTCCCCAAATCCCCCCACCCAGCTCAAATCATCTCCCTCCACAAATCCCCCTCCCAGCTCAAATTATATCCCTCCTTAAATCCCCCTCCCCTTAAAGCTTGTAGGAGGAGTTTTCTTTCTGCTCTAGGAGGATGCAAAACCCCTGACCTTTGTCTGGACAGTGATGATTGGCCCTGTGCTGATCACATGCACTCTCCCAAGAAAAAAAAAAACCTTCTCTAGCAATACACACTAAACTTAGCATGTGCAGAAAGGCTACGGGTTCAGTCTGTCTTATCAGCGTGGACATTTGAACAAGAAAAGGGGCAGAGAAGTCAGGATCAAAGAGCCTTTTTACACAATGTAGAGGATTAACCCCTTTGGTTCCACAGTGAATATAACAAGCATGCTTTACTGCATATACAGACTGATTTTACTGTTGTGGGTTTAAACACTTGCCTTCCAGAGTATTTACTCCTCTTCCTGACCAGGCCATTTTTGCGTTACGGTGCTGCGTTATTTTACCTGACAATTGTTCAGTCCTGCAACGCTGCATCCAAATGAAATTTATGTCTTTTTTTTACCCACAAATTGAGCTTTCTTTCGGTGGTATTTGTTCGTCTGTGTGTTTTTTATTTTTTGGGCTATAAAAACAGGCCCAATTTTGAGATTATTTTTTGACTTTTTGCTATTAAACATGTCCAATAAAAAAATTGTAAAAATTTAATTTTGTCATAAAATTTACACCAAAATGTATGTCTTTGCTTAAAAAAAATCCCAATACATGTAAATTAATTGGTTTACATGAAAGTTATAGTGTTTACAAATGGTGGTATATATACTGGGATTTAAAAATTTATTTTTTTAAATTTTTACTAGTAATGGCAGCAATCAGCGACTTATTATTATTATTATTATACAGTATTTATAAAGCGCCAACAGTTCGCTTAGCGTTGTACATTACAAAGGGGGACAGAACATGTGACAGAACAATACCAATACAATGCAAAACATGAGGGGATCAAGGGCCCTGCTCTTTCGCACTTACAATCTAGGAGACTTATAGCGGGACTGTGGGACTGTGGCGGACATTCTGACACTGGGGGGAACTGACTTGGTGTCACTGACATCCCCAGTGACACCAATACAGTGATCAGTGCTAAAATGTCAAATTGGGACCAGCGTCTGTGTCCATGCAGCTGCTGCATCCCAATTGACATAAGTGGGACTGCCTGCCTGGTGATTCACGGGACAGCTGTGCTTCCCCATGCAAGTAAATATGGCCTTGCATTGGCATACACTATAGTACGCCCAATGTGAACAAGGCCTAACACACTCGATCAGTCAGCATTCACACTTGCCCTCCCTCTCTACCCAATGCATGTAACATTTTTTTTTACATTTTGCCACATTTAATATTTTCATGTGTGCTGTGCCATGCCATCAAACTTAAAGTGGAGTTCCATCTGAAAAAAAAAAATAAAAGTCAGCAGCAAAAAAACCTGTAGCTGCTGACTTTTAAAATACAGACATTTTCCTGTCCCTCAGTCCAGCGGTGTCCTCACCACGGCTGGTTTCTCCGGCCGTCTTCTCTCCCTGGCGCCGGAATCTTCAGTGTAGGCACCATACTGTGACAGCTTGCGGCTTTCTCAGCCGGGTGCCCACTGCGCATGCGCGAGAAGAGCTGCGCCTTGTGAATGGCCCCATAGTCTTCTGGGACCTGTCATGTGTCCCAGAAGACTACAGGGAGGGAGGGTAGGAGGACAACTTCCGCTTCCGATCGCCTAGGCAATCGCAGCGGAAGTGAGAGTGGGTACCTGTCAAATTCAGGTACCCCAAGGTGCCAATCCTTAATGGGGAGCAGGGGACAAAGGTTTAAAGTGGAACTTCCCCTTTTGGGTGGAGCTCCGCTTTAAGCTGCATTAGATATACTTTACTGACATAATTGATATGCATTTGTGTGTCTTTGCAGAAGGACTAAGAGAAAGCTGTAAATGATGATGCACTTATAATTAGGTGTTACTATGTATATATATATATATATATTATTTATTTATGGGTGGCAGTAGATCTACTTTAAGAATCAAGTTAGTTGCAGAATGTCTGTTTCCCCAATACTGTTTCTTTATTTAAAAAAAAAAAAAAAACAAATACTCTATTTTTGAGAGTATTTGTGTCTTTTCTAAAGAGAAAAAGTAAAAAAAGGAACTCCTTTAGGACCATCGTATAAAGGACCCTGAATATAGGGAAATACATACCTGTGGAGAGAAGGCACAATGCCAATCTTTGTTCTACACATTACCAACAAAAGTAAGGCTTCGGACACTTCCCTTGTTAGCATATTTCAGGCAGCAGCATCAGATCCAAAGTTGGAAACATTAAGAGCTCAGGATTTATCATCATCAGAGGTCATTAAAGCAACTCTGGCACTAGAATAAAAACTTCCATATAAGGTCTCCTTAGAATAGACAAATCCATTGTAGTTCACATTTGTATGTTCACCCTTATTCCAACCATGCAGCCTTTAAAACAAAGGATTAAAGAAAAATTAAATACACTCTCAATAAAAATGCTGCATACATTTTTTCTATGAAAAATTTCTCTTTCGATGTCAGAAAAGGTAAGTATAAAGTATCTATGTGTGTCATGTAGTTTTAGGGATATTAAAATATAACAGCCCAGTGAAACTGATGTGGTTTTGGTGATTAAGCAAATGTAAAATATAAGTGTTTGTAAAGTTAAAAATAAAAAAAAACATTAAAAATTGTCTCTTTGTGGCAGTGGATAGCTGCCTTAGGTTTGAGGTATTGTCAATGTTATACTAATGTTTTTGTCATTTATGTGCCATTGATAGCCCCTGCTTGGGTGCACTTTTTGCTCTGTTGGTGTTAGAGCACTGTTTTCTTTATTTTTTTTATGTCCAATTGATGGCCCCTGCGTGGGCGTGTCTTGTTGCTCCTGTTTTTTTTTAATGTTTATAAACTAATAAAAATCATTGAAATACAAAATAAAAAAAGTCTCTTTAAATTCAATGTGATTTTTCATATCTGTATTAAATATCTGGCTGCCAATGCTCTGATTTACCTGGTTGATCCTGCCTGCAACTGCTCCTCCTACAAGTAAACTGACCATGGCAACATGGCAGCCAATACATGCTACCGTGGTCAATTTACGTCTTGTATCATAACGCTGAAGATACAAGTGCCCCTGTATCAGTAAAATGCCAGGCCCCTCGCACATCCCTCCTGGATGATAGCACACTGTTCTTGGCTCAGGAAAGGGGGAAGTGACGTTTGCTGCCAGATCTGATTGTATTCCATTGCCATGAAAGCGCAGAAACTCGGCAGCAATGTCACTTCCTGTTCTGATATAGCACACACACTAGCAGGTTTGTGCATCGCTGTAAAGCCAAAAAGCAGGTTTGTTTAACCACTAGCCAACAGGGCACTTATACCCTCTTCCTGCCCAGGCCACACTGTACCCATATGAAATTTTTATCATTTTTTTGTGACAGATAGAGCTTTATTTTGGTGGTATTTAATCACCTCTGGGATTTTTATTTTTTCTTAAACAAACCAAAAACCACTGAAAATTTTGGGAAAAAAAAAAGTTTCTTAGTTTTTGTTATACAATTTTGTAAATAAGTGATTTTTTTCCTTCACTGATGTGTGCTAATGAGGCTGCAGTGATGGGCACTGATAGGCTGCACTGATGGACACTGATAGGTGGCACTAATGGGCACTGATGAGGAGGCACTGGTAGCTTGCACTGATGGCATTGACAGGCATCACTGATGGGCACTGAAAGGCAGCACTGATACATGACACTGATATATGAGCACTGATAGGCGGCACTGACTGGCACCGATAGGCGGCACTGACTGGCACTGTTAGGCGACACTGACTGGCACTGATAGGCGGCACTGACTGGCACTGATAGGCGGCACTGATAGGCGACACTGACTGGCACTGATAGGTGGCACTGGTTGGCAGCACTGATAGGTGGCACTGATTGGCATTTATTGGTGGCACTGACTGGCACTGATGGGTGACATTGAAAGGCAGCTCAGATGGGCACTGATATGGGGCATTGATGTGCACTGGTATGCACTGATATGTGGCATTGATGTGGCACTGATGGGCACTGGCACGTGGCACTGATGGGCACTGGCACGTGGCACTGATGAGCACTGACAGGTGGCACTTCCTGGGGCCACACTGATCATCAGTGCCCTGATGATCAGTGTACATGTCCCCTCCGTGGAAAGCCGATCACGTTGACAGCTCGAGAGGAGAGAAAATGCCGATAACCGGCATTTCCGTGTTTACATGTGATCAGCTGTGATTGGACACAGCTGATCACATGACCGAGCCGACATCTTCAGCTCTTTCCGTGATCCGCTGTGTCTGAGGGACACAGCGCACCGGAGATCGGCGATCGCCGCGCATGCGCAGTGAGAATGGTAGAAATGTCATATGATGTCCTATCAGAACGAGAGAACCACCTTGCGCCTGTCATTGTACTATAGGGCGGGCAGAAGGTGGTTAATAAAAAAAGCTCACAGTAAATATATTTTTTATTTTATTCATTGAAACATGATTCTGTCACTAGCACTACTTTAAAGGCTAAGTTCACCTTTTTTTTCTAAATTCCAGCTAATCTATGTACTAATAAACCATTATTGTACCTCTGTTGCAGAAAGGAAAAAGCTTTCACTGTCTTCTAGGACTGGCCTTACCTCAGCCTCCAGTGTGTTCATAGAGAACTCCATCATTTCTTCCTGCTCCATCCTGAAATTTGTTATTTGGGACATAAAGAATGTTAGAAGGAAGTACTTTATCAGCTGAACTCATTAACACACACCTTGCACCTGCCCTCCCTCTCCAGGAAATTGCTCCCAACCACCTCTGTACTCACATGCAATCATTATCAGTCTATATATCATTATCTGTTCTCAATAAATACACAGCCAGTGATCAAGAGTTTTGTACCTTCATCTTGCACAGATCATTCATTTGGCAGACTGTGTGGGAGTAATCACATAATAGCCTATGAGGAGCAGGGCTGTAACATTGAAAATAGAAGTGTGTCCCTGGAAGTCTGTAAAGCTCACCATGCACTATACAATCTAATAGTACAACCTTTTTAGATCTACCATCAACTACAGTATGTAGAGCAAAGGCCTGGGCCTACCTGGCTGCATACAGAGGGATTGGATAGATGGGTCCTTCAATTATATAATTTTGGTAAGTCTAAAGTTGATTGTACAGTGACTGTGCAATCATATTGTATAGAATATGGCCACCTTTTACACCTAAAATAAACTAGTTGCTCTTTCGGTGCCATTAATTGTTAATGGCACCCACAATTCAAAAGCAAACACACATGAAAAAATTAGTGACAAACGCAACAAAATGCACAGTGTAAACCATGCAAACTGGAACACCCCGAAATGTCACATGAGCTACTTTGCCATGTGTGAAATTAATGTGCTGCCCTATGTGTGTTGTGTGAAAAATTAAGACCGCTCAGTTCTCAATGTTCCGTGAGCAGAGAGCCGGTGACTATTAGTCACCGGCTCTCTGCTCTGCACTTCCAGTGCTCACTGGAGCACTGGGCTAAGGATGGGCCAGGAGCAGCTGGCTCAGGCTCTCTGGGGATCACCAGGCTTCTGGGTGGATCCCAACCATATGGTGGGGATATTTTCAGAACCTGGACGGGCTCTGCGATGTCAGCCGACAGTGGGCTTCAGCCCTTTCTCAGCTAAGAACAGGTCACAGGAGTGCAGAATAAACTGCATTTCTGTGATCCCCAGAGGAAGCATAGTAAAAACAGCTTGGGCTATACTTCTCCTTTAAGATCAGCTCTGCTGGCAATGTATCTCCTTGGTCCATACAATATCTAAATTCTGAAATTAGTTTTTTTAGAGGTATTTTTTTTCAGGGTAATGGAGTATGTTAAACTTCACCCTTAGAGGTATTGTACTGGAAACACCAGTCATATAACAAACCACCCACTCAACATTATCAGACACTTACCTAGCATGAATCAGCCTCCTGAGGCTTATTGTAAAAATCTAAGAAATACCACACTTTCTTGCTAGCACTACTTTTTCTATTTCTCCTGACCTTTACCTCTGGTTCACATATTTTCGGCCGCACGGGCCGCATTGTGCGCAAGCATGAGAGCCCATTCATTTAAATCAGTGTTTCTCAACTCCAGTCCTCATGGACCCCCAACAGGTCATGTTTTCAGGATTTCCATTATTTTGCACAGGTGATTTGATCAGTTTCACTGCCTTAGTAATTACCACAGCTGTTTCATCTGAGGGAAATCCTGAAAACATGACCTGTTGGGGGTCCATGAGGACTGGAGTTGAGAAACACTGATTTAAATGAACTTCCATGCCCCGGGACATGCAGGGAAGAAGTCCCTGCACTTCTTTGGGAACTGCAGCCTGCACGGGAACCGAGGTTCCCAGTATGGTTGCGATTTCCAGTGCGGCAGGAGTGCCTTTAGAATTAATGGCACCCACCCGCGGTCCCGCATTGCTCTGTGCGGTTTGTGCTGCTGCAGGTATTTTTGTGCGGGTCCCACCGCACCACCCGCACATATGTGAACCTAGCCATAATTGTGATCTAATGGGATACATTAGTTTAGTTTCTTTGCATCTGGTCTAAAGTCAGTATCATTTTTTTTTAATGTAAATTTTAGATTTTCAAGTAATAAAAGATAAAGCTGGTGTTAACATTTTGTATTATTCCCTAGATCACATGGACAATTTCATCACCTTTTTCAGCATATGAGCCTGTATTTCACTCAGAAAATGTGAGGGTTTTACCCTTGTTTTTTATCCCTAAATATCCTTAAGTCTACACTTGGAGGAGGCACTGTGTTGTCTCTGCTGCTAACATGTTTCTTGGAGCCGGCTTGCTCCCACACAGCCTGCCAAGTTGACAGACTACTGCATCAAAAACACTGGACATTTAATTAGATAGATTACAATTTTATTGATATTGCCTGGGATCCATGCACCTGTTATCTCCATTCTACCACTTTTACAGTCATTCGTTGCTAAGGAAGCAGCACTCACTGCATTCCTAGGAACTACTGACATCACCGGGACATGACCAAGTATGACCATGAACGTATTTGGTCAATGATCTCACCCCTATCCCCTCTTCATATATACAGTAGATGATGACAGCTCAGGGAGCTGTCGTTCAGCTATGAGCACCATTAGGATTGTTTGAATTCACCAGGTCCTCTTTTTTTGGGGTGGGGGGAGTTAGCAGGTGGCAGGCAGTTTGATTGGGAAACATTTTTGGTGATTTATTTTTAAAGGGCTGGTCAAATGCTAGTGTCTTTTTTTAACGTGACATTTATTTTTGTGTGAGTGTGTAGGGATACTATTACTGTATACTTATTCACATATGGGGGAGGCTGGTATCTGGAGGCCCTTTTAGTAAAGGAGACTTCCAGATTCTGATAAGCCCCCTGCCCACAAACCTCCACAACCACAAGGCACAGTTGTTGTGAATAGACCCTTGTCCATATCAACATGAAGGACATGCTACAGCAAAATTGACATTTACAAAGAAACAAAAAAGGGCACAGTTTAAATTGTCAGCAAATGTCACCACTCCAAAGGTCTCCCACAATAAATAACAGACTTTTAAGGGTCTGCTATATATTTTGAGGGGGTCTTTGTAGTCTGTGTGCTGTTTGTGCCCACACCCATGCTATTTATGACACCCCCTTGCCTATTAACCCAGAAAATGGGTATTTTTACTATGACAGATTAGGCTCCCATTTATTTTAATGGGGTTCAGGTTTGGCATCTAATTTTCTTTGAAGTTCACCAAACCCAGGGCAGTTAGGCTCATCACTCTTTCTGAGTATGTCAGCGCCTTCTGATATGTGAGGAAGGAGGAGTGTGCTTTGCTATGCAGTCTATTTTTTGCTCCTCTGCTCCCTCTCAGTCCCTTATCATTTTTACAAAACTCACATTGTGAGACCTGACATCAATGTATGGTACTAAAAAGCAGTGTGAAAATCCAAACAGAAGTGGGTTGCTACTATCTGTCAAATGTATTAGGCTTAAAGCATATATGCTCACCGTGCCCAACTAGCAGTCTCCATCTGAATATAAGTACAAGTCCAATTCCAAAAATGTCGGCAACAGGTGAATACAAAAATCTTTATTGCATAAAGGAGCAAAAATATTCCATGGCAAACTTACGCCAATGCGTTACAGTCTAAAGACAGACCTTATTCATAATCCTAATTAAAAAGGTATGCGCTAATAACAAACTTATACCAAGGTGTATATCATCATCCGAAAAAAACATTTAGTGTTTCAAATAAATAATTATAGTGTCCAAACATAAATTAGTGTCCAAAAAAAAAATATATATATATATTAGTGTCCAAAAAAACATATATATAGATCTATTTATTTTGGGTGGGATATGCTGCTGACACTTTGGTGTTTTTTTTTGTACATGGCGCTTTTTTTCTTTTTTAATTTAGACCTTATTCATAGCCTACAGTTTCAGTGCATAGCACTTTCTGTCTACAAATGTTCCATGCTGAACTGATCAATCTCACAGCAAGCGGCCCCCTATACTATCATCCCTGTGAAGTGGTAGTGCAAAAAAAAAAACACAAAATAAATGTCTCAAGGGTTAGTGTGGTGGTAGAATTATTCTAATACACACCCAGTTGCTGGCAAAAAGTTAAAGTAGTTGCTTGAAATATTTCCTTTAAGAGAAAAATTGCTTCCCTATACCCAGTCATTTTCTCCATCAGCTCAGGAGAATTAACAGAGGTGGTTTCTGCAAATTGGTGGGGTTTAGCCATGGGGAAGATAATTTTGCAGGTATGTGTACATGCAATTTTTTTCCCTAGCTATATTAAAGAGATTGCATATAAAAAAAAATAATACATTTAATTCTGCTTTAGTATTTGGCTATTTTTTCAAAAGTTGCATATTTTATTTTCTGTTTTAACCTTTTCATATAGAATATATAACACAAGAATAAAAGTGTAGTTTTATCCACAATGGACTAAAATCTGAGTATTATTATCTGCAAAGTGTTTTCCTTTATGATAGAGTAACTTTCTGGAAAAAAAACACATTCAAAAACAACAATAATTTAGCAGAAACAATGTGTGTGTTGCAAATTGTATGCCTGAATAACTAAGCCCACACCAAAATAATATACTTGTTACTGTAGCCATAATATTGAAAGTTTTACCTTGGGGCATTTCTGCTGTTTGAAGTTTAAAATGAAACAATGGACAATAAAAAAATAAATCTATAACTAATTTTTTCTGAGCAGGTCTGAGAGGCGAAAAACCAGCACAGATGTGCA